GCGGCAGCGGCCGTGCACGCAGGGCCGGCGGCGGCAGGGGTCGGGCGGCTCGGCCGGCTGGTTGCACAGGGCGCCCTGGTAGCCCTCGTGGCACTGGCAGCTGTAGGAGAGGGCGTCGAGGGGCAGGCACAGCCCGTGCGCGCACCTGCGGGCACCGCGCACCGTGAGCCCCGGCGCTCACCGGCACCCGCGCGGCCAATGGGAGCGGGCAGCGGCAGAGCCACAAAGTGCAGCAGCCAATCACAAGCGATGGGAATGAGGGGGCAGCCAATGAGGAACAGTTCAGGTCAATGCAGATGGCAAATGGAGGGGCGATGATGAGGAGGGGGGATGAGGGGCAGCCAATGAGCCAGGGCTATTGCTTGAGGGCAGCCAATGGGGCAGGAAGCATAGGTTGGGGCAATCAATGGGGCATGTGGGATGCGGCAGGGCAGCCAATGGGGCAGGAAGGTGAGGTTGGGTCAACCAATGGGGCATGTGGGATGCTGCAGGGCAGCCAATGGGGCAGGGGGTCATGGTGAATGGGTCACACAGGCCAGCAGGTGGGGCAAGTGGGTGACTCTAGGACAGCCCCGGGGCGGGCAGAGCCCTGCAGGGCAGCCCCAGGGCGGCTGCGGGGCGGCGGAGGGCACTCACTTGTGCCCCTGGCAGGGGCTGTCGTGGGGCTGGTCGCAGTGGGGCCCGGCCCAGCCGGGCTCGCAGTGGCACACGGGGCCCTGGGCGCCGGCGGGCTGGCAGATGCCGTGCAGGCAGTAGAGCTTGCGGCAGGGCTCGCAGCCCGGCACCACCCCGGGCGTCATCCGCGTCTTGGTGAAGTCCTGCAGCTCGTTGTTGATGTAAAGGTTGCGGATGCAGCCGTGGAAGCTGGTGCCATTGAGCAGCTGCCAGAGGCGGAAGGCGGCCGAGTTCACGTCCACAGGCATCCCTGGAGGAGAGCAGGGTCCATCAGCGGTGCTGTGCCGGGCAAGGGCCAAAGCGCTCCTCGCCGTGGCCATCCGGGCGCCCTACCTCCCACGTAGAGCGGCGCCTCGCTGTTGAGGGTGTAGTGCTTGCCAAAGTTGTCCATGGTCATGGGGCTGCCGCCGTCAATGGAGAGGTTCACCATCTGGTCGAAGGTCACCAGCTCCACGGTGTGGAACTGCCCGTCGTTAATGGTCTCGGCACTGGTGGGGAGGACTCCGTCACGGAGGTGGTTGTGGCCCCATGGAGAGCCCCCTGTTCCCTCCTCAGGCTGCCACAGCAGCAGGGCTGGGGTTGGCTGCAGGCAAGGTGGGCCTTGAAGAACAGCTCCCCCAGACAGAGAGATACCTGTAGATGGCTGAGCTGGGGTGGGTGCCGGGGTCGTAGCTGACCCTCACGTGGCCCTGGTACAGCTCCACGGCCATGTGGTCACTGTCCCCGTTGTACAGCAGGATGCCGTTGTCTTCCGCTGTGGAGACCTGGGGGCAGCAAAGGAGGGAGCCCCCCTGTCCCACGCCAGCCCCGCCACACGCAGCGCCCCGGCTCGGCCCCGTGCGCCCACCTGCAGGGTGATGTTGGCGTGGGGCCAGTCCTGCAGGTCGGTGAACTGCAGGTACGTGTCGCGGTCCACGAAGTTGACGCTGAGCAGCTTCTCGCACTTGGGGCCGCCGAAGCCGGGCAGGCACTGGCAGAGCGCCCGGGCGCCCAGCTCCACGCACTGGGCGCCGTTCTGGCACTCGGYGCGCTCGCAGGGCCCGGGCTGCCCGGCGGCGCGGGGCGGCATCTCGCACAGCTGCCCGCTGCGGGGCACAGGGCGCACGTGGGGACGCGCGCAGAGCAGGGCAGCCCTGTGCCGCCCCCCTGGCAGGGAGAGGCTCTCCGGCCTCTCTGCACTGGCATTCTGGGGGGCCTGCAGCTCTCGGGAACTGCTGGTGCTGCTCAGGGCTCCCTCTGGCCAGCGGAGGCGGAGGGACACCCGGATCCCAAACCCTGTCCTGGGTGGGTCTCCCGCACTGCAGGGACGTGTGTGCTCCCCCCGCATCCCTGGGGCAGCAGCAGGTCCGTTCTGCAGGGTGACCCACAGCCACCCTCGATGGGGACAGCGCCGCGCCACGCTCTGCCAGCCGTACCTGTAGCCCTCGGCGCAGAGGCACGAGTAGCCGTTCACCTCGTCCACGCAGCGCGCGTTGTTCTGGCACCGGTGGTCCTGGCAGTCGTCGAAGTCCTCGCTGCAGTTGGTGCCCACGTAGCCGGGGGCACATTCACACCTGCAGCCGGCACGGCGCTCAGCTCCGGCGCGGCACGGCATGGCAAATCGCCACGCGGGCAGCGGGGAGCAGAGCAGCCCGGCAGCGACGGGTGCCGTCCGGGCGCGGGGCCGGCACTCACCGCGGGCCCTGCCTCGTGGAGATGCACTTGGAGCCGTGCTGGCAGGGGCTGAGCTCGGCCGAGCAGAAATCCGGCGGCTGCTCGCAGAAATCCCCTGTGGGACACGGAGWGGGTGACGGCACAGCCGGATCCCGTCCCTGCAGCACCAGTGCTGCCGATGCATCGCCCCGCACCGCCCCCAGGAGCTGCTGAGCCCACGGCACGCGAGGGTCGCTGCAAGCCGCGCTGCCCACGATGCCCCCCCCGTGCCCGCAGCAGCGGGTACCTGTGTAGCGGTCTGGACAGAGGCAGGTGTAGCCGTGGCCGGCGGGCTGGCAGGAGCCCCCATTCTCACAGCGATGCTCCTGGCAGGGGTCACTGGCGGCGCCGCAGCTCGGGCCATCGAAGCCCTCCGTGCACAGGCACCTGGCCGAGGGGCAGGAGAACGGGCGTTTCGGGGCCACTCCAGTTCAGCCGCGGCAACAGGAGCCCCAGAGCAGGGCGAGCAGCACTGGGGGTATTTCCCTTGCACCCCTATCCCCCCTGAGCTGCATGGGCAAAAGCGAGTGCTGGGGACGGAGGGAAGCGCTGGCGGTGGCAGCCCCGCCACGCTGCGGGTGCCCCGGGAAGGAGGCCGGGTTGCTAAGGCCATTCAGCRCATGCCAGCCCCTCGCCCGCAGCCTGGCCTTTATCTTCAGCCTCTAATTGTGCCCGGTTTCCCAGAACAGCCTGGAGGGCTCTGGGCAGCAGGACTGGTTTGGGGGCAGAGCCGAGCTCGTGGCCGGGCRCCCGGCGCGGGCTCCTCACCTGAAGCCGCCTCCTTCGCCCTCCCGGGGCTCGCAGGTGCCGCCGTTGGCACAGGGCTGGCTGGAGCAGGCGTCAAGGGCCACCTCRCAGTCCCGGCCCTGCGGAAGGAAGCGGAGAGGGGCAGCCCCGAGGGGGACGGGAGGGGGACAGCACTGTGCCCTGCTCGTCCCCTCTGTCCTCTAGCCCGAGTGCAGCCTGCGGGGCGCTGCGGGACGTGCTGCAGCRTTCAGGGCTGTGCAGGGAGCTGCAGGGCACGCAGCCCCCCGCGGCCCACGGTACCTGGTAGCCGCTGGGGCAGGCGCAGCGGTAGGTGCCGAGCGGGTCGTTGTGGCAGGTGCCCTGGTTCCGGCAGGGGCTGGAGAGGCAGGGGTTGCACTTGGCCTGGACGCTCAGGGCCGGCGGGCCTGGGGGTGCCAAGCGGGGGCGGCCGTGAGCCCAGGGGAGGCTCCCGGCACGGGGCTGCCGGCTGCCCTGCGCACAGCGGGAGGGACGGACGGACGGACGGAGCGGGCGCCTCTCACCTTGGCACTCAAACTTCTTGGCCGGGGTGGTGAGCAGCAGTTTGCCCTCCATGTCAGGGGGCCCGGCGCAGCGGGCGATTCCGGGCTCCTTGTAGCCCGTCTTGACCCAGCTGGAGAGCCAGCGCAGGTTGCAGCTGCAGTACAGCGGGTTGGCCCCGATGGCGCTGCGGGAGGACGGGGACAGAGCTGCAGCAGYGGCCCAGGAGGCAGTGGGAGATGTCGAGAGGGGGCCTCTGGCCATTCCCTCCACCATGGAGCCGGGAAGGGATCAAAATGGGGGGAGTTGGGGGAAGAGTAGGCTGAGCAGTTCAGCTGCAGGACCGCAGCGAACGGGAGCTTCCGCGCCGCCTCCATGGAAAGGCGCTGTGCGCGGAGCCCAGCACCCCACTCCACGGGATGCTGTGGTGCCCAAGCTAAAGGCTCCTTTATACGGGGGCTGAAACCCATCCCGTGAGCTTCAAAGGTCTCCCAGGCTGCAGAGCTCAATGTATAACACACAACATACTCACAGGTGGGACAGGGAGGTGACGTCTGTGAAGATGCCCTCGGGGAGGCTGGAGATGTCATTGCCATGGAGAGACCTGCAGGCCAGAGAAGGCTCTGGGGTCCACCGCGTGCCAGACCCCAGCCCCAAGGGTCCACGTGGGGGTGGAGGAGGTGGATGCTGCTGCTCCCCCGTCGCTGCCACCGACGCTTACAGCAGCCGCAGGGAGCGGAGGCCCTCGAAGGCCAGCGGAGGGATGCACTGCAGGGAGTTGTAGCTGAGGATCCTGCGGGAGGCAAGGAGGAGGCGAAGCTGCAGCACCCTGTCCCGCTGCACCAGCTGCAGACACAGTGTGGCCCGGGCGGAGCAGCTCCTGGTGCCCCCAGTACCCCCTGCTCCTCGGGGTCCCCCCGGGCTGCTCCGCTTGCAGCCTGTCACAGTGCAGCCAGGCCGCACTTACAGGGTGGTGAGCTGGCTCATGTTGGTGAAGGAGGAGTTGCTCAGGGAGCTGATCCTGTTGTTGCTCAGGTCGCTGGAAAACACAAACACGGTGGGATCGCAGCCAGCTCATGCCCTGCAAGAATTGCCTTCCCCTTGGCGCCGCTGGACCTGCCCTGCCGTGGGCGCCGCTGGCAGCGCCGGGCRCTGGGCTCCCCCCAGCCCAGGCTGGTGCAGCAGGTAGGTGCACGTCTCCCAGCTGCTGCCTGCCTGCAGACGCCTCGCACACRCCTGCAGAAACCTGTCCCGCGGCACGGTGCCCGCTGGGCTCTGCTCGCGGCTACTTACACAAGCTGCAGGTACTTGAAGGTGGAGAGCTGGCCGGGCACCTGGGTGAACTGGTTGCCATCCAGGTAGCTGCGAGGGAGAACGCAAGCACCTTGGGCTGGCCCTGAAGCACCAGGGGCCTCCCTCTGCCCTCCCCTGTCTCCCGCCGAGGACGTGGCGCCGTGAGGAGCGTGTTCCCCGTGCCCGTTAGCGCGCGGTGCCGCTGCACGGCTCGCGGGGCAGCTCCCGTGACGCGTGTTTGCGGCCAGGCACGTGCGGCGCTGGCGCGTGGGCGGCTGCAGCGCTCGCCAGGCGCGTGTGAGCGGGAGGAGGYGGCGCGGAGGGGAGCCGGGCTCGGAGCGGGCGCTACGCGTAGGGATGTGCACAGCTCACCCAGCCCCTGCTCCCACTGCGACCCGCGCCCCGCTACAGCTCCCGGGGACATGGGGGCTGCCACGGGAGCTCCGGCAGCCGCATCGCGTGGCGGCGCTGCGGGAGCCTCCTTGCCACGTGGCCGAGGCAGGAGGCACCACAGGAAGAGCCCCGAGGCCCRCGCGGCACTCACAGCTCCGTGACGTTCTTGGGGATGCCCTTGGGCAGCGCCTTGAGGTGCTTGTTGCTGCAGCGCACGACCGTGTCGAGGCAGGTGCACTCCTGAGGGCACTGCGGCCGCGGGATGCAGCCCGGCTCCTCCTGCCCTGCGCGGGGACAGCGAGGCGCACGGTGACGGGGGTCCCCAACTCAGCCTGGCCATGGCCCCAGCCCCAGGCGGTGCCCGCGTCCCCAGAGCGGCTGCTGCAGCCAGGCTGCCCATGGGGAACAGCCCCAGGCCAGTTCACACTGCTCCCCCTTGCCACGAGGCAGGCACCAGCCAGCTCGAAGCCGCTCTGATTTCTACCGTTTCCAAGCAAAAGTGCTTCTGCAGAGCACTGCAAAGACGAGGGAGCGGAGGAAGGGGCCGGGGCCAGATGTCCAGGGCCAGCAGCTCCTGAAAKACCCCCTCCAACCACCCCTAATGGGACATCTTGTGCAAGAGGGTCTGCCCCAGCGGCTGGGGGCCGGAGCATTGCTCCCTGTGCCAGGGCTCCTGCGGGAGAGGCGTTGCTGGCACCGCCGCCCACGCTCCCGCCCGCGGGAAAGGCGCAGGATGCAGCCRGGCCCACGCGTGGAGGAGGAGGGAGAGCAGAAGCAGCGAGGGTTTGTTTGTAAATATTTTCTCGGGCTCCAAATCTGTTCCCGGTTAAAAAAGGCTTTTCCCTGAAGGAGCGCGCTCCCCGCCGCCTCCGCGTGCCTGGCACCGGCACGTGCGCGGGGGGCTCGCAGCGGTGCCGCTCCGTGGCAGCTCTGCCYGTGGGTTCAGCAGACATGTCCTCCCCCGGCTCCATGCGCCCCAAGTTACCTTCCTCACACCTGAAGTCAGGGAAGGCCACATCCTGCAGCGGGATCTGCCGGAGGAAGGGCGGGTTCTGGCAGCGCGGGTTCCCCGTCACGATCTTCCTCTTGCGCAGCCAGTCCCCGAGCCAGGCCAGCTGGCAGTTGCAGTTGAAGGGGTTGGCGAGCAGGTTTCTGTGCACACAGAGGGAGCACGAGGGCATTGCCGGGGCGCCGGAGCAGCCCCYGCCATGGCACGACCCCGGGAAGGGGGTCCCCCGCACCACGTACAGCGTGGAGAGGGACTGCAGCGTGTCGAAGGCGCCCGGCGCGATGGTGCTGATCTGGTTGTCGTAGAGCGAGAGCAGGCGCACGTTGCGCAGCCCCGTGAAGCTGTCGTTGTGGATGCAACTGATGCGGTTGTTCCTCAGCATCCTACAGGTAAAGGAGGCAAGTTGAGGGCATGACTGGGAAAACTCAGCCCTGCGAATTCGGGCTTAGTCAGGCCAGCCCAGGCAGGTCCTGTGTGGCAGGAGCAGCCCGAGCCAGCTCCTAGCGCTGCAGCTGCACCCTGAAACACGCAGCTCCCACTGCAGAGCTTCGGGCTCCAGATACCGCCTGGCGATGGGGAAGGTGCTGCCGAGCTGCACCCACTGCAACGCGAATAGCAGCAGCCCRGCGGCTCGGAGCAGGACAAGGAGCAGGGACATGGTGGTCCCGGCGTTCCCGGGATGGAGGGAGCACACTCACAGGGTCCTCAGCCCGTCCAGGCCCCGAAACATGCCGCTGCGCACCGACTCCAGCTGGTTGACGGTCAGGTGCAGCTCGCTGACAGACGCGGCGCCCTCGAACGCCCCGTCCTCGATCTCTGACACCTTGTTGTTGCTGAGGTTGCTGCGGGGAGAAGCGCCAGGCTGGGACCAGGTGCCCTCACACACTCATGGCCCGGCTGCAGGGGCCACACTCACATTTTCTTCAGGTGTGGGAGCTTCTTGAAGATGCCCGTGGCCTCCAGGACAGAGATTTCGTTGTTGTTCAGGCGCCTGGAGGTGGGCAGTGGAGAAAGGAGCTCAGGGAAGGGCTGCAAAGACAGCCGAGCGCTGCGCAGAGTACCAGGGAGTGGGACAGGAGGGGACCGGCACCGCAGAGGCTCTCACAGCTCGGCCGTGGCCTGCGGGATGCGCTCGGGGATCTTGGTGAGCTTCAGGTTGGAGCACTCGACCACGCCGGCCTCGCAGCGGCACTTGGGGGGGCAGACGACGTCGCTGTTGCACTCGCTGTTCAGCTGGTAGTCCTCCGTGCCTGCGGGGCGGCCGGCACGCAGTGAGCGCCCGCGCCGGCCCCCGGCCCTGCCTGCGCCCTGCCGCCGGGCCCCATCGTGCCCAGCCTCCCCGGCTCCTCCATCCCGGCCTCCGCGCACGGCTGGCCCCATCCGCGCCCCACGGGACTGTGCCCCGGGCACGGGGCAAGGGGTSTGTGCTGGGGGCTCGCAGGCACCCCGTGAGCCCTGTCCTCCACGAGCAGATATCCTGGATGGATAGTGCCCAGGTGGGTGATGGTAGGATGAGGGGTGCTGCACTGCTTCCCTTGTAGTACCCAGCATGGGAATTCAGCTGTTACAGGGCATCCCATGGGAAATGCGGTCTGGCTTCAYGTGGTGCCAACACCGCTGTGGGCAAGCAGAGCCCGCCGTGCACACGCATCTGCATCGGTGTGGCTCAGCCTCTTACCTGGGATGAAATACTGTTCTTTGGCTGCGGAAAGAAAAGCACGTGCATGCCAGTCAGCAGAGAGCTGCGCAAAGGGGCACCATTCCCACCCCAAAATCCCACACTTCAGGGCTGTGGGTGACTGTGGCCAAGGGGACGAGGTGCAGAGGGTGGGTTTCGTGGCTGGGTCCAGCACGGAGTGAAGACCCCTCTCCCCATGCCCCGCAGCGGGGCGCAGCCATGGGGCTCCCACTCCGGCAGCACGGGCTGCCCGTGCCCGTGGGGTGCCCGTGGGGTGCCCGTGGGGTGCCCATGGTGGGGAAGGGGCCGCCTCTCACCCGAGCAGCGGAACTTCTTGCTCTTGATCTGGCCGATGCGCTTGTTGGCCAGGCGGCGGGGGCTGGCGCAGCGGGCGCCGCTGGTCTCCACGGGGTTGGCGCGCAGGAAATCCGCCAGCCACTTGAGGTTGCAGTCGCAGACGAAGGGGTTTTGGGCCAGGTGCCTGTGCCAGGGAAGGGGCCGGGGGTGAGCGCTGGGCCGGCACCCCGGGGGGACATGGCACKTGCCACCGCGGGGCTGTGCTCACAGCGTCTGAATGGCCCGCAGGGAGGCAAAGGTGCCCTTGGCCAAGCTCTGGATCTTGTTGTCGTAGAGCGAGAGCAACGAGAGGTTCTGCAGGTCCTGGAAGGCGTCCGCCCGCACGCAGTTGATCTTGTTGGCATTGAGCAGCCTGGTGGGAAGGGGCAGGGTGAGGGGCTGGGTGCCCTGCACCGCGGCCCCCGGCCCCGCTCGCCCCGCTCACAGCAGCTGCAGGGCGAAGAGGCCCCCGAAGACGCCCTTGGGCAGCTCCATGATCTTGTTGCCGTACAGCACCCTGCGGAGAGATGCCCATGTGAGGGGCGCTGCCCTGTCCCGGGCGGCAGGAGGATCCCCGTGCACCCCCAGCACCGCCGCTTACAGTGAGTTGAGCGAGCGCAGCCCCTGGAAGGCGTCGGGCGCGATCTCCGAGATCTGGTTGTTGCTCAGGTCTCTGAAAGCCAAAGAGAGAGGGCGACCTGAGCCCCTGCCCACCCACAGCTTCCTCGCCAGCGAGCCGAGCGCGCGCCCCGTGCCCACGGGAGCAGGGCGCCTGGGGGACACCGTGCTTACATCCGCCGCAGCTTCTTGTACGGGGAGAAGGCGCCAGGGGGGATGGACTTGATGCCGTTCAGCTCCAGGCGTCTGCAAGGAGAAGGAGGAAGAGGTGCGGGCAGTGGCACTGATGAGTCCCCGTGCCCTGCGGATGCGCATGGATGTGCATGGCGCCTCCTCCCTCCCCGTGCCCTGAGCCTGGCAGTGCCTGCCACCTTGGCCATCCCAGCAAGGGCTTTGCACCGAAACTGAATTCCCCTAAGGAGATTATTTCTCTATTGACATTTTCAAAACAACTAAGTCCAGAGCTAAGTCCAGGTGGGATGCAGGGAGCCCCCAAAGCTCTGTAGCCCTGCATCTGGCTGCGTAAAACACGGACACATCACTGGGGGCCGCAGGTGCACCTGGCTGCAGTGCAGCACCACGCAGGGCTGCAGCCCCCAGGCACATTACGGAGCGCRGAGGAGCCGGCCTGCCCGGCGCCACGGCACCCTGCCTGCCCCTACTCACATCTCCGTCATGGTCTCGGGCAGGTTGGCGGGGATGGCCGTGAGCCCCTTGCCGCGGCAGTCGACGATGCCGTTGCTGCAGGTGCACATGGCCGGGCAGGAGCCGGAGGACAGGCTGCAGAGCTGGGCGCGCGCGCTGTCCRCTTGTCCTAGCGGGGAAGGAGCCAGCGCTGGCACCACACCGGGGCCTTGGGCTGGGCTTGCTGGGACAACGTGGGAGCTGCATGCCAAGCTGAGCGAGTGCACGTGGCACTGATCCCAGTGTGTCCTGAGCCCGCACAGCGCCAGGGCCAGGGCCAGACGTCCCTTTAGAGCACCCGGGGTGGTGACGTCCCTGCGCCAGGCTCCCCTGGGCTGGGCGCACGTGGTGGGGAATGGGCACGAACGCAGGCAGTGGCGCAGCCCGTGCCCCTGCGCGGGGTCCTGCTGGCACCGCGGCCCCTCACCGGAGCAGCTGAACTCGTTCTTCTGGATCTCGGCCACGTTGAGGCCGCGGAGCTGGGCGGGCCCGGCGCACTGCGTGAAGAGCCCGATGGTTGGGCGCTGGCGAAGCCACTGCGAGAGCCAGGCCAGGTGGCAGTCGCAGAAGAGGTGGTTGGAGTGCAGGCGGCTGCGGGGGGACAAGGCAGTCACGGGAAGTCGGGGGCCATGGGATGGGTTGCCCACCACYCCCATCTCCGGCTGCCCCAAACCCACCGGCACACAAGGGGTACCATGAAGGGAGGAGAGGGTCGTGCTGCCCTGGAGAAGGGGCTGTGGGGAGCCCGAGAGCATCTGCATGGATCCACCTTGGGGAGCCCATGGGGACCCCCCTGGGCTCAGGGGCCGGGTCTGCTCCTCCTTTCCCCACCTGCAGTTGTTCCTTCTCCCTCCCCACAGTGCTGCCGGGGYGCTACTGAACAATCGACATATGGAAACAGGGCGTCACCAGGACATCTGGCTTCGGGGCACCCCACTCCGGCCCTCGGGGTCCCATCACACCCCACTGGCACTCACAATGTCCGCAGCTTGGGCATGTGGTTGAAGCTGGACACGGGGATGGAAGTGATGTTGTTGTTATTCAGGGTCCTGCGGGGAGGCAGAGCGAGGCAGGTCAGGGGAGCATGATTCCATCCGGACAGTGCCAAAGCCCAGGAAGGAACTGCAGCCCCCCCCAAGCAGGGCTGGATGGACAGAGAGGTGGGGAACAGGGATGGACCGAGTGCCCAGGCAGGTGCTACTGCACTTGCAAGCTTTTCCTCCTGCACACAGCCAGGGTGTGGGGCTGGGATCGAGCCCCAGGGCTGGGCATCCCGGGCAGCGCCTGGTGCCAGAGCCAGCTGGGAGAAACAGCTCTGGAATGTCCCTGYGGCACCTGCGTGTGTGCGGAGCACCCGGGCACACTCCTCCCGTGTGGGGCTGGCAGGACCCCCCAGCCCCTGCCCACTTACAGCACCTCCAGCCCCCGCAGGGCACGGAAGGCCCCCTCCTCGATGCAGCTGATCTGGTTCTTGTCCAGTTGCCTGCAGGAGAAAGGAGGAGAGCGTTCAACTGTCTCTGCATCCCTCCCTGCAGGTCYGTGGCCATCCCACCAGCACTCACAGGTTCTTGAGGTCAGTGGCCCCGCGGAAAGCTTTCCTGGGAATGGCCTGGATGAAGTTCTCGCTCAGGTCCCTGAGGAAGCAGGAGGCAAAATGAGCAATGCTGCAAAGTGCCGGGAGGGACTGGTCTGCCGCCCGAGCACAAGGCATGTCCTAGTCCTGTGCAGTGCTGGCATTTACTGCATCCCCCATGGCCCTGGAGAAACCATAAATCAGCAAAGAGGGAGTTGATCCCACCACAGCCATGCTGGGGGGAACTGGGCGCCAGCTGGGGTGGCTGCAAGTGGCTGGGACACCGGTGCATTGCCCAGCTCCTGCCTCTGATGTGCGGAGCAGGGCACAGCTCAGGGAAAGCCCTCAGAGCTTAAATGCCCTGTGACYGTGGCAATTACAGGTCCCTGCTGATCAGATGGTAATTACACTTGGTGGCTCTCACAGTCATTCCCACAGAGCCTGCCCTGTGCTTTCCAGGGCACAAATAATTGGCTCGTTAATTACTTCACCTCTGTGCAATTGCCCGCCCTGTGAAGCCAGCTCAGGGCTGCACATGGTGGGCTCGGATCCCCCTGCACCAGGACTGGCTTTAACAAGGAGCACCCAGACAAATGCCCATGGCAGGACGGGCTGCAGCTCCGCCGGGTGCCCTGGGCTGGGGCGCGCGGGAGCTGCCAGGCAGTGCCCAGCAGTGCTGCATGGGCTGCAGCCGCCGCCGTGCAGTTTCTGTGCTACCCACGCGGCGGCACTGCCCAGCCTCCCCGGCGCTGCCGCCCCGCGCCGCGCGGCCGGCTCCTCTTGTCCCTGTGCGGCTGGCTCCTCTCGTCCCTGACCTCTCAGCGGTCCTGCCAAGCCTCTTTTCCCCTACAAAGACTCTCACTATCTGTTCAGGCTTGCCAGAACTTTTCCAGTTCTTTTCTTTTCTTTCCCTGGAAAAAACCCATGGAAACCCTGGGATTAAGCCCACAGCTCCTCCTTGCGATGCCTTCAGTGCCGCACGCTGCCCTTTTGCCACTGTCTGTCCTCTAACAGGAACCCAGTTGCAGCAGGGCCACCGCAGCGGCCATCCCGCTGGCCCAGCTGCAGCGCCAGCACATGGCACCTCTCCCCCCAGGGACACGGGGCTCGTGTTTCCCCCCGCGCAGCGCGCGGGAGCCCCGGCGTGCCCGGGGTGCAAACCCCGGTGCCTGCCTGCAAGCTGCTCACTTAGAGCTCACGCGGGGAACGCTGCTAGGAGGCTGCRAGTTATTTCGCGCCGCTTCTCTTCACAGCTTTTCATGACAGTCCCCGATGAAGCGCTGCCACGCGGGCTCCCGAAGCCAAGAGGGACAGACGCTGGATGGGAGGGTTTCAGCAAGGCCCCGGCAAGGGCGTTACGTCTCCGGCGCAGTTACCCAGCTGACGACGGCGGCACAAACACATGCTCCGCTGTCGGGAGCCGCGCTCCCCGGYGCGACAACGCGGCTCGGCCCCTTCCCTCCTGGTGTTTCGTAGCTCCCAGCTATGTTTGCTTTACRCGTCGGCACCGAGGAAACAGCAGATGGCAATGGCTGCGCTCTGGCGCACGGCTCGCGGCGCCCACACTGCCCGTGCCAGCTCCACGTTGCAGCCCTCTGTGCACAGGCGCTTTGCCCGCCAGCACCGCTCCTTGACCATGGGCACTCTTCTCATGCTCTTCTCAGACCCACCGGTGTTCATGGAGTTGGCCCAAAATTGGGGCCCAAAAACCAACCCAGCAGCCCGGGCACAGGTGCCCTCGAAAGTCTTCAGGGCATCTTGCGGTGGCATCAATAGCCCAGTGGAGAGGAGAGTTTGCAGGAGAAAGCAGCCTTTCCTCTGAGAGTGTTTGCTCTATTTCTGGTCTCATTTCTAAATATTTTCCTAAGCCTTCAAGAGTGGGGTTTCCTGATTGCTGAATGCAGGAGATACCAAGCAGTTGTTCCACTCACAACTCCATGGTCATCCCAAGCTCCCCCCCACACACAGCTGTGCACCGCATTGCCCTGAGGGTGCAGGAGATTCTCCTGGCATGGGTGCAACAGGCTCCTGGGCACTTAGGGAAGGAGGAAGGATGGGGAGGACGGAGCCTGCCGTGTGCCGAGCCCAGACCCTGCACGGGGATGCTGGCGCCTGCCACGGTGCCGGCGAGGCCGTGGCGGGCAGCTCCTCGCCRGGCTGGCGCAGACCCCGGAGCGCGGCGCGGGGCTGGCAGGGGCTCAGCGGCGGGAGCCAACCCCCCGGCGCGCGGCCCTGCCCGCCGCTTAGCAGGGCACCCGAGCAAAACTGTTCGACATCGCTTCCCAGTGGGGAGCCCACTCAGGCAAACAAACCCCGGCCGCCTTAATCTCCGCAGCAAGAGCCCGGCGGGCCGGCGGGGGGCCGGGAGGGAGGGGGCCGCCGCGGGGCCGCCGCGCCGGGGCGGCTATTACCACGCTCTCATTCTCTCGGCTAATCCCGACTTCACACTTTAACCTGATTGAGCCTTGTTTGCGGAGCCGGCTCCCCGCGCGCCGCGAGGGGATTAGGGCCGGCCGCAGCAGGGAGGTAATTGCTTCCTCGCGGCGCTGGCCGCGGCTCCGCCGAGCGCCCCGGCGC